TATTCCTAGAAATTTCCTCTTTGTCCCTTTTTTTCATCTACAGTTGACTGATGAATCCCTAAAACTTTCACTGTAATCTCATTGGTATATAATTACCTTACAACATGATGTACTTTATAATATGTTGTGCAATGAAAGTAGACCATACTATGTCATAGACTTGTAGATATTTTAAAAATATCAGATTAGTTCTCACATCTTCATTAAAAAAAAAAAAAGGATGGCAGAGCCAGATATTATTAAACAAACAGACACATAGACACTGTAGGCTTTCAATGAATACCAATGTCTTTATTACAATAATTATATCCTTTTTCATACCAACAATCAGAAGATTGCACACAGCTATGAGCCTCATCCTGGATGCCATAGTGTGCTGTAAAATGGAGAGAGTAAGACAAAGGAGAGATCCCTTGGTTTATGGTATGAAAGTTTGGGAAACCTGTGAAAAGATTTGCAGCACAGAATTCCCTTATCTCCCAACTGTAGTCTTCGCAAGAACAAAGAAGAGCTAATAGTATTAATGGCAGTTCTCAAAGTAAGGTCTGTGGATTCCAGGAGACACAAAACATAATTTCACAACATCTCTATGGTCAAAAATGTTTTCATAACAACACAAAGATGTTATTTGCCTATGTCACCCTGTCGACATTTGAAATGATGATGTAAAAGCAAGAGGGTAAAACTATGCCTTAACTTGAGAATCAAGGCAGTGGCACCAACCCAGTCATTATATTCTTCATTACCTCCTAGTGTGTGTGGTGGTGGGGGGGAAGGGGCAGGCAGTTTCACTTAACAATGCCTTGATGAAGCCAAAGGAAAAATAAGTATTAATTTTCTTAAATTTGCAATAAAATGAGATGTATGGGGCAAGTATTTCTGCTACACACTAAAGTTCAATGATTGGGGAAAGCACAAGTGCAATTAGTTGAATCACAAGTTGATTGAGCTCCTTTTTCAGGTAACACCATTTTTACTTGAAAGAATAATTAACAAACTACGGTCATTCAGACTTGCGCGACTGGCAGGAGTTTTCATGAACGTGAATAGAACTTCTGGTCAAGATGGCAGCATAAGCAGATATGGTTCGCCTCTTTGCACAACCACATCAAAATTACAACTAAAATATACAACAGCCATCACTCAGGAATGTCAGGAATCTAGCGGAGTGGAAGTCTGACAACTGCAAAAGCAAGTTGAATGGAACTCTGACGACTACAGAGTTGTCAGACTGGTAGGAGGACTGCAGATGCAGAATAGGCTGGTCCAATGCCCATGTGGATAAAAATTTTGGACGGATATCTCAGGTGCAAGGAGTCCCAGGCTCATACCAGGCCCCCCAAACCAGGATTCCAATGCCAGGAAGATAAGTCCCTACAATTCCCAGCTGCAAAAACCAGCGGGGAATTGAGTCAGTGGAAGAAACTATTGGCGCCCCAAACAGTTACTCTTATAGAACCCACATATGGACTTAATCAGACTCACTCCCTCTGAGCTCCAGCACCGGGGTAAGAGGTTGAAAAGAACCAATGGTATACAGGGAGAAACTGAAGTGCCTGGCATATAGGCGAGCAGAAGCCATTATCCCTTTGATAAACCCTCCCCTATAAAAAACCAGTAGGCTGGTGCGATAGCTAAGTGATGCCTTGGAGATGCCCAGAAGCTCTGCCCCACTCAACTGACTGGCACCACCCATGCTGCTTTTCCATAAGAATGGCTGGTCTTGGCTCCTAAATGCTATCAAACAAGCAACAGCTGGCTTCAGTGGGCCCTACTGGCAGCCAGATTAGATTCACAGCTTGGCTTTGCCTGGGAATCTCCAAGCCCAGCACAAGTAGCGACCATCTCACACTGCTTTATAGCTCAGGCAGGGCCCCCTGGGCAAAACACAGGTGGGGGCTGACCTTGGCCTGCACCACCTAGGAAAGTGTTTTCCTGAGTTCTGTGAGCCATTCTAGTAAATTATCAAACCTGAGAATGGAGTTGTAGGAATCCCCACACTCCCAGATTTTATAGCCCACTGGTCAGTAGTAAGGACTTGCAGTTGTGAGACTGAGCCCTTAACCTCTGGGATTTGAGCTAATAGCCAAGTTGTTAGAGCCTGAAATGAATTAAAATGCAGGGTACCCAACTGGTGTCTGGAAAGTTGGAGAATTGGTTGATTCAGGAAAAATAACCCACATGTTTGTCATCAGAAGTATTCTCACTTGTAGTACCCAAAGGGATAACTAGAAATGTCTTGTTGATATGTAATTATACAATCTGAGAGTCAGAAGCACATTTGATGGTAACCCAATGATCTACAGCAGTCAGAAGGGTTGCAAGTGAGACTTAATCCTACACAGTATTTGAGAAGGAAGGAAAAAAGACTATAGAAAATTGGGAGCTCAAGAAATCCTAAAAACTTTCTGATTCTAAAAAGAAAGTCAGGCTTGCTGTAATTCACTCCAGAATCTTCTTAAGATTTCTACTTAGACTAGTTTGAGGTATACTCCATTAAAAAAAGGACAACTTTTTCCCTCAGATTAATAAAAATCTGCAAGGTATAGCGGGGGCTCCAGAGAGAAGTGATCTTAGGGATTATTATAGATATATACTTTTAATTTTAATGATTAAGTATTTATTTTGATTATTTTCTATATGAAGCAATTTACGAGGCTTTTCATATAAATGTATATAGGTTTAAAAAGCTTATATAAGAGTAAAACTAAAATATCACTTCCAGTGATCATAAGATTAAATCTATGGCAAACATTGTACTGTTAATGTAATAAAGTAGGTAAGAAATGTAACAGAAGCCCTGACTTGTGTGCTAGACCAATGATTATGTAACTATTCTGAAGTAAGCATTGCTACAGAAGTAGAGCTCTGACACAACTCTATTAGAATAAATTAAAATAGTATTTTATTTATGTAATCTGTTTTAAAGTTTGCTTATAATTCGAAACTTTAGTTTCTTCATCCGAAAAATGAGTATAAGATTGCCTAAATTACAGAGTTTTCCAACAGGTTCTATGTAAAACCAGGCATAAAGGTATTACTTATTAGTATGCAAGACCTAGTGCTTCAGTAGATAATGGAAGCAGTTTGCCACCTCAAAATACGCCTTTCAGAATATGCATTATTTTAAGCTTTTTTAAAAAAAAACCTCACCTAAGGATATTTTTATTAATTATAGACAGAGAGGACAGGAGAGGAGGTGGGAGAGAGAGAAGCATCAATTTGAGACAGAAACACTGATCAGTTGCCTCCCATATATGCCCTGACCAAGGAACTGAACCACAGCCAAGGCACATGTCCTGACCCAGATCACACCCACAACTTTTTGGTGTACCAGATGACACTCCAACCAAAATCCAACCAAATGTGCACCCAGCCAGGGCTAAGCTAGTTATTTTTAAGAAACAAAAGACTCAGGAAAAACCTTTAACCTCCCCTCTAACTGCATAAAAGAAATTTAGAGGACCTGCTCCAAAAAAGAAGCTATCATCAAAGATAACTGTAGTTTAATATGAACTACTATGTGACAGGGAGGAACATAGCAAGGCCCCTTTAATCAAAGCTCCATTGTTAAAGATAGTCCAGCAAACAATTATTTACCAAATGTTTGCCTTTCCATCTCCATGTGAATTGCCTTCCGGCCCTTTGAGGTTCCACACCACAGTCCTTTCTCCTTAGCTCAAAATGGCATAAAAATCCCTCAACTGCTGATTTGTCGCTGAACCTCATATTCTTGGAACCCCTATGTGTACAAACATATCAAATTTGCTTATTTCTCTATTAATCTGTCTCATGTTAATTTATTAGCCCAGCCAGAACTTAGGTGGGAGGAAATTTATTTTTTGCATCCCACCATACTTCCTTCTGAGTCTCCAGCATAATCTTTGTAAATATCATCCAGAAAATTACTGAACATATATAGGCTTAATTCTAAACTCTTAACATGACAAGACAAATCGGAATAGGAAGAACCAATCTAGATAGAAATCCAGTTAGCTCCTGCATATAAACATGACATTTATTCTTTCAGAGAAAAAAAAAAGTCTTTATTCTCTATTGGCATTATATTATTTCATTTTCTTTTTTTTTCTAGTTCCCTTGGATTATTAGTGTCTTTGTAACTGGTTTCTTAAGAGCTCATTTATAACTAAAATGTTAACCATTTCTCATGCATTGCAAATGAAATATTGTGTTTTTGTTATTTTACTGTGCTGTTTTATTTTATGGCTGTAAAGAAGTTGTATACTGAAATATAATCATGTGCACCCTGGCTGGCGTAGCTCAGTGGATTGAGCGCAGGCTGCGAACCAAAGTGTTGCAGGTTCGATTCCCAGCCAGGGTACATGCTTGGGTTGCAGGCCATAACACCCAGCAACTGCACATTGATGTTTCTCTCTCTCTCTCCTCTCTCTCTCTCTCTCTAAAAGTGAATAAATTAAAAAAAAAGAAATATAATCATGTTCTGTTTTTTAAAAATATTAACACTGAATATTTATGATAATAAAAAAAATCAATGTCCTTGGGAGTAAAAGGGAGAAAACTGTACTTGAACAATGATTAAAATAAAATTTAAAAATTAAAAAAAATCAATGTGCTCTACAAAGTATTCCCCCAGAAGTGCCCATTTAAAAATATATAAATTATGGAATGTCCATAGATTAAAAAGGGTGCTTATGAAGAATATTAATGAAATATACCACAAATACATTGTATAACATATAATATTAAGTGAAAATGAATTACCTTAGAGGAAAAATCAGGACCCAAAACTGTATAAAGAGAAATATGTCAATAATATAAAAAATATATTTAAAAGTCTGAAATAAAGGAGAGGAGCATTATAAGTTGTTATTATTATAAAAATATATAATCTTTAAAGTTAAAATGTGGTCATAATATTAAATGGGTCCTATGAATTGGGGAAAACCTTAATTTAAAAACAGGCATATGTCAGATTTACTCACTCACCAGTACAGTCTTTTTGAACAAATTTTACTTACTCAGTGTAAGTGGATTTCTCAATAGAAAAACATTTGGGCCACTGTGGAAGGGCTGCTGCCAGGGCTTGCTGATGGAACCTGGCAGATGGAGAAAGCCATCAACTCTACTACAGTACAATTTCCCTTTACCAATCACCACAATGATTTTGCTGCTGAGGTTAAGTTCCAGTGATGTGTTTTGGCTGGTATAGCACTATTTTCTGCTATGAAGAGCACAGCAGCATCTGTTATCTTTCAAGTACCTGAGCAAAATCTCAACCTTGGAAGGCATTACATATATGCTTTCAAATGTCCTGAAGGAAAATGGGGGTGTGGTCGGGAGAGGAAGAGGGCAAGAATGGGTTACTCAGAAGAAGAGGAAGAGGAAGAGGAGGAAGAAGAGGAAGAGGAAGAAGAGGAAGAAGAAGAAGAAGAAGAGGAAGAAGAAGGAGGAAGAAGAAGAAGAGGAAGAAGAAGAAGAGGAAGAAGAAGGAGGAGGAAGAAGAAGAGGAAGAAGAAGAAGAAGAAGAAGAAAGAGAGGAAGGAAGGAAGGAAGGAAGGAAGGAAGGAAGGAAGGAAGGAAGGAAGGAAGGAATTCAAGTTTGGGAACTTTATTCTTCCCATACAAGCTACTGCATAATCTGTATGCAAACTGTATTTCAAAGATTTTATAAAACCTTGAATTTCAAAGGTTTGTAAAGATGTGTTCAAAAGAACGAAAGAAAAAAATATTAAGTGCAAAAGAAAAAAAATAGGTCTTTTTAGGTATGACTTTACTGGAAAGAGGTTGAACATTAAGGAAAAAATTAAATCTGTATTACAGTACCCTAGAAAACTAATGTATTAATGAATAACAGAGAATTCCACTATATTAGGTCTAAGACATTAAATGGATAGCTTTTTTGTTTTTTTTTAAGATTTTATTTATTTATTTTTAGAGAGGGAAGGGAGGGAGATAGAGAGAGAGAAACATCAATGTGTGGTTGCTGGGGGTTATGGCCTACCTAGGCATGTACCCTGGCTGGGAATCGAACCTGGGACACTTTGGTTCCCAGCCCGCGCTCAATCCACTGAGCTACACCAGCTAGGGCTTAAATGGATAGTTTTATTCTTTGCTATGCACAACCTCCCAATAACTGAAGTTGAAAACATTTCAAAAGGATACTTTCCAAATCATTCAATATACTGCTTTACACAACAAACATTCCAAAGCACATTCCTTCAAATTTCCTATTATACCAAAGTACCCTGATACTTAGGGTACCTTTGGGGGGGTGGATTTCACTGAGAACTTGGGCATCACTAATGTTGCTTAAATTTTTTAAGAAATGTTAACTCATATTTCATATACATATATATTCTTGCAATACACATGGACAACAACAAGGAATACTGCAAATGATTTACTCTATCAACAGAGATGGCTGGTTCTTATCAGATGTTTGTATATGCTCACTTCAGCTTCTTTTGCCAGTACTAGGGCTACTTCTGAGGGTTGTGTGATAAAGTAGAAAGAGTACAAACCTGAAAATCAGACAGAATTTAAAGCCTGTTATCTACCAAATGCCAGACTTGTGACCTTGAGCAAGTGAATTACTGTTTCTCGGCTTTAGTTTCCTCAACAGTAAAAATGGTAACACCATCTCTCTTTAAAAAACTATAAGTAACAACTGTTAATAACATATATAATAGAAAAAAAGCAGCACAGAGGATTTTCACATCTTGGTGGGGATGGGAAAAAACTTCTGAAAGAAAGCTGGCACATCTTTGGAAAACTTGATGACAACATGGTACATGGAACTCATTCTAATCGTCAAATCAAAGATAGGTGAAGACAGAATGGGCATGTGAGGTGTGTCCAGAAAAAGTCCAGCCACTGGAAATGTAACTAGAATGGTTTACGCAACATCAGTGTAACTTGGGAGCCAAGAAGAGTGGACTGGAATATGCATGCATGAATAACAATGATTTCACTGTACTGTAAGTCAGAGAGAGTGGTACACACCACTGAGTGAGCATGTTTACTGTGTGGCTAGCACATTCAAAATGACTGAGTCAGTAGAGCAACAAATCTGCATCTAATTTAGCGTTAACCCTAAACATTCCTCTGTGGAAACTATCTGGATGGTTCAAAAAGCCATGGTGATTGGCAGCTTCATCATGACAATGGGCCAGATCATGGATCACATCTCATGCACAGTTTTTTGGTCAAACATCAAATTACCCGCGTGATTCAAATCCCTACAGCTCAGATTTAGTGCCCTGCAGCTTCTGGATTTTCCCCAAAACTAAAATCATCTTTGAAAGGGAAGAAATTTCAAACCATCAATGAGATTCAGGAAAATATGATGGGGCAGCTAATGGCGATTAGTAGAACTGTGTGAGGTCCCAAGGTGCCTACTTTGAAGACGACTGAGGCGTCATTGTCCTATGTACAGTGTTTCTTGTATCTTGTATCTTCTTCAAGAAATGCCTCTGTTTTTCATATTACCTGGCTGGATACCTTCTGGACAGACCTTGTATGAAATTCACTGTGTATTAGGTAATACAACAGATTCTGAAAATTATAATTAAAATAAATAGTCTCTTCGACTTCAAGAAGTTCAAAATTTCCCATGGGAGAAACCCACAGTTTCTTATACCATTTCATTAATAGCATCTATAATACAAAGTCAAAAAATGGTCAAACAAGATCTATAAACAAAGAACCATAAGCATGTTGCAATTTACCAGAGCTCCCCTTAGCTAAATGTCAAGCGTAGTTACCTATAGAAAGGACAGCGGGAACCTTAGACATACTGGCCCAAGAACTAAAAGGGGTAACATCTTGTAGATCACACACAAAATAGCTGCTAAGAAGAACAAAAAACTTCACGCAGGGTGGTCATGACACCAACTACTGGAAAAACAAGGGTATGGACTAGTCTATACAGAGAATGTACAGAAAAAAGAGGACAGGTGGCATATGTCCATTCTGTCATTCTACATCCAAAGCCATACTGTGGTCCTATAAGCTATACATACCTCTTGCTATCTGTTTTTCACATATGCCATGCTCACTCCCTCCTTGGGGCTTTTTTACTCACTGTTCTCTCTGATGAAGAGTCTCACCCCCAGATCCTTGGCTAACTCACCTAAAGGCATTAAAATGTATATTTGCTGAAGCAGAGGCCTTCACAACTATAAAAAATTTTGATTAATATTCAAATATTCACATAGTATAGCAAACCTTTTCAAGTTCCTAAAATAAACTCTCTTTTATTAGCACAACAAAAATTCCTACACTTTCCAATCTTGAAAATGTCTCCCCAAAACAAAACAAAACAAAACATGAACAGTAAAATAACAGAACATCAGTGTAGAAATCAGAAGTCCGTTTGACATACATTAAAAAAAAAAAGTCATGTCATCATTTCCCTAAAACTGGGAACCTAGGACCCAAACATCAGAAAAGGAATAAAACAACACTTTATACAATTAAAATGATGATAAAATGAGCCACTTCCTAACCACTCATTATCTGGGAGCCTACAAATGGCACTTAACCCCACACTCACCCCCCAAACAGTGAAAAGCCCCTTCCTAAAATCCATGACAATGATCCCCAAGTGACAGCCTGCCGCACATTGCCAGCCCAGGACTAAGTTTTCACTAGTCAGCAGCAAAACATAGAAAATGAAGACCAAAAGAAATCATAAAAATAAATTTTAAAATCTGCATAAACTTTGCAAACTTTGCACACTTACTCTTGATCTGCATAGTTTCACAAACAAAAGGTGGGAATAGAAATGGAGAAAATGTGTAACCAAATAAGAGATAACTAAATGGCTGATAGGGTTAAGACAGCTTTATCTACACGGAAAGGGAGTAGTGTACAAATTTGAGGAAATGTAATACATTTAAGTTAACTTGTATGAAATTACAGCTTTTGTAGATATAAAAAACAAACATTGCCAATTTCATACATCTCAACCTAATACAGTATTTATTTTTCTCAAGAATAGAATGAACCATATGACTGTAGTATCAAAAACTGTTCCTCAATTGCCTCCTTCAAAACTTTAAGAGGAACAATGCACACATGAATTCAAAACAACCAAAGTCTTAACTATCATTTTAAAATCCCAATGCTTTCAGCGCATTCAGATACCTAAGACTTTATGCCAATCACATTTAGAAAAATTTCAAGATGGATTCTGAAAAGTAAGGAATGCAACCATATAGGAGCTCTAGTGGCACAATCTGTTAACGTGAAATACTTATACAGAAAGCAACCATAAGTTAAAAAGCAAACACCTCTCCCTAATTCAATCAAGCCCAATGATTCCACTAGCATAATAAGAGAAAGGTGTTTTTTATTTTTATTCCCCACATTACAGTTAAACTCAATGCCACTGCAGTTCCCAGTGGCATTTATGGACAGAGAAACCAAGTTAAACTAAGAATGCCTGACTATTATAACACATCTGAGTGCTAGATAAAGTATTCATTAAATCTGAGTGCCAACAACATATAATGTTTTATGTCTATATAATGCAGGAAAACACTGGCTGTGACTTATCAACAAACATTCCAAGCCAATCTATTTAATAATCTGCTGAAGTTGCTGTTTTATTGCTTAGACAAACAAAAATATAACTGTGCTTATTCTAAAAGTATAACATTACCTCAAGGTAATAGGAATTGATAGAACAAATATATCATTATATAAAAATTAATAACATTTGGAGCATGACATGCAACAGTCATAAAACAGCATTTGTTTTTCAAAACTGGTGGAGAACACTTTTATGGAAGGAAAACACTGTTGATGAGGGATGTTCCTATGCTTCACTATTTTGCTTTTCAATGAAAGGCTAGCATGGGGCAAGGCGATGGGGGCTACAGAGTGTCCTCTCCTATTATATTTTCATAGAATCAAAGATATTTACAGTTTGAAAGAAATTTTAGGATCAATAATAATCCAACCATTTCACCATACACATGAGTAAACACATGATGAGCCTGAGAGATTCCATGACTTAGTTCTCCAAGGCCATGTAGCCATGAACAGCCAAGGAGAGACTAAAGGCAGGCCTCAGGTTACCTGCCAAAAACAGAGTCATATGCCCATTATCATCTGGCAAAACAAATAAATGGATGCTTTTAATATTTAAAATATTAATAATTTTAATATTTAAATTTTTTATTTAACTTAATACTTAAAATAACATTTGTAAAGTTTGAATCAGTGAAAGAAACATTATTACATTTAGTCAATATATCCACTTAATAAATCCTTGAAATAAGACACAAAATAAAGACTGACAAACCTATACCATACTCTTAAAAAGGAAAGAATTATAGAACACCAGGGACAAGAGGGCATAATTCTCCCCAAAATATCTATCTCCAAAAGGTGAAACAGCCAATTCTAAATAATGTCCTCTTGTTTGAGGGGTTACTGTCAAGTGCCCAAGGGTCAGCTTGTGCACCAGAAGTAGCACTTACAGTGACTAAAGACACAGGGTAAATTTCAGAAAATACCACAGGAAATATCAGGCAATCCCAGGAAAAAAACAAAAATCTCCAACAAAGTGAAATCAGTGGGTAGTTCCAGTCTTGGGAAAATATGCTCAGGACTGGGTTAGTATTCAATTGCACCATAAACATGAGTGTTTAAAAAAAAAAAAGCAGTGTGAAAGAGAGAAAAACATTTGGGAAAGTAATCAATTTGTGTCAAACTTGAGTTCCTGAGATTTTCCTTATGTAATTATGCTTAAATAGATATTTTATTCTTTCAAATAACTGAAAACCTAAGTTAAATGGGTTAAATAATGATCAAACACCAAGAATCATCTCTAATTAAAGCAGCAAATTCCATCTGTTCCATCTCTGTATTTAAATATTTATTTCATTATTAAATGAATTATAATATTAATATAGACAGGCTGTCCAAAAAATAAATTACTGTTACACTGCCTGAAATGTACTCTTAATCAAACCCTCAAAGCATGCAGATTATAGAGACAGGGATCAGGGTCTAAGATGTCTTTAATTTCAAAGAGACGCTTAACAGCTCATTACAGCATTGCACTTGCTGACTTGTTGAGTTATAAAAAGTTACCAGATGGTTCAGATTAGAGAAAATTAGAACCATAGCCAGAGTTTTAATCTGATCTTGTCAATTTTCAAACTTGCAGGGGAGATCATCTCTGCACTTGGGTGAACACAGTGTGAATGGGTATCTGCATCCTTCAATCTTTCTGTATAATTATTCTAGAAATCCTAAAATCATAGTTGAGGAGTAACAAATAAAAATTTAGTCCAATGGTGATGAGCTCAACATATCACCACATGTTATTTCAGGATATTTGAAATGCCAAAAATCCACTCATGAACCTGTAGGTTAGGACACCTGATCATTCATGACTGGTTTTCATATTCTACATAAGACAAAACTGAAGCCAGAGCAAAGATCTGTACGATGTCAAGAAACTTATAAGGGACAGAGCCAGGACTCCAGTCAGAGTCCACTGTCCAACATCAATCAACCAGATTCCTCTGTAAAGTAGGTTCAGAAGATTTTGTAATTGTTTCTGCTAGATGTCCTAGAGGCTTTAACAAGATGTACCTACTTTCACTCTAAATTTCTGACTCGGAATAAAAGAGTAAATTTGTCAGTAGTCCTAAAGTAAGAAATGTTAGGGTGATTTTCTCTTCTTATCCTATCACCTTTCCTCACACAAGCCCAAACCCAGGCGTCAAGTCCTCTTGTTCTCGTCCTGTGCCTATGATCAGTTGTGGTTTTCTGTTTTTCCCTAGTACATCCTTAACCAAGCACATAGGTTTATAAGAGTAGAACCTTGTGTGTCTATTACACATAGTTTCTTACTCAAGATGATGTAATAAATTTAAAGGATTCAAGTTAAAAATAAAGATAATGCAAAGAAACTTAACAGCATGTTAATTCTATGATTTGACACCTGAAAAGAAATGATTCTCAACTTCTTTTGCAGTATCTTAAGAAGTATATCAGAAATGGCCAATTGTATCCCATTATATATAAAAAGGGAAAACGTTTGCTAGGAATGTGGCTAAATTATGTGAAGCAAGCATTTATTCCTAAATCCAAATTTCTTTTTTTTTAATTGTATTTATTTATTTTTAGAGAGAGGAGGGAAGGGAAGGAGAAAGAGAGGGAGAGAAACATCAATGTGTATTTGCCTCATATACGCCCCCTATCGGGGACCTGGCCCACAACTCAGGCACGTGTCCTGACTGGGAATCAAAACTGCGACCCTTTGGTTCACAGGCCCATACTCACTCCACTGAGCTGTACCAGCCAGGGCCCTAATTTCTTTTCCCTGAAAATTCTTTAACACCTCTGATCCCCTTATGGTATATACTTACAGTATGGTGAAATGACCTCTCTACCAAGCAATTTTTTTTAAAGAAAAGTTTGTTACAACAGACAGAATAAACACTGAATACTATACACAAATACAGAAAAAATACAGAACACCGTCACAAGCCCACCTTCATCACTTGTTGCCTGCTGCTTCACCAGAGTCATTGGGGATCTTGCTGGAGGCTTGCTAAGCGGATGGCGCCAACTTTTAGCTGTTTTGGTTTCTCCATCTATTCTCTGATTACAGAACAAAAATGGAGACAAACACCTTCAGTTAAAAACTTGTTTTAAATAAAACACTATGGTTCACAATGATTTATGACAAATTAATTATGAAAAACTCATGTACTTTTTTAAATCTTGGGGAATTAACCCCCTCCCTTTTTTTAATCCTCACCTGAAGATATGTTTTTATTTATCTTAGAGAGAGGGGAAGGGGGAAGAGGGAGAGAGAGACATTGATGCGACAGAGAAACATTGACCACTTATCTCCCATACATGCCCAGACTGGGACTGAACCTGCCAATGCAGGCATGTGCCCTGACTGGGAATTGAACCCACAACCTTTTGGTGTATGGGACCACAATCCAATCAACTGAACCACCTGGCCAGGGCAGAATTAGCCCTTTTTAAAAGAAATTTAAAAGTTTACATCAAAAGAAATAGGAATCCATCCTATGAGTTATTCTACGAAGAGGTCAATTAACTATGTTTCTACTTCATATTAAAATGCTATCTGTATATTGTGGAGGCTAGGCTTATCAAGCCTGCAATAAACTCAGCAGTTGGCAAGTTTTCATAAGTTCTTTAACACTAATCTAAATTTAGGATTATATATTCATAAAAATATAGGACTGTGACACTTGGCTATGTCCATACAGGTCACATGAAATATTATGTTATTTTTCTTTCTATCCACATAGAAAACCATAATGTCAAAATGAGCCCATACACGTTCGGTTCATTCAGAAATGAATAATCACTTTTCAGAGGATTAAATAAGAAATCAAAGCTTTTTTTCTAATTATGGTAAACTACTGTCACCTTGAAATCACTGAAATTGTATAGAAAATCTTTTGTCCTGGGTTCTCCAAACTATATTTTCCTTTCCAGGGTCAAGGGAAAAAAAGGCATGTACAACCAGACAGAACCCACTTACAAGCTTTTCTTGCCCACTGAATCAAAAAACAATAACAACAAAAAAACGGAGGTCGGGGGAGATTACCAGAGAGCGAGTATTAGTTGGTTTATATCAACAGTTCATTAGGAAAGAAAGGAGTCCCAGAAATGTTCATGTTCACTGAAAAAGCAGTGGCCAGAAGTAGAGAAAACTATGCTGGCATCTAACACCAAAACCGGATTTGTTGGAAAAAACATGCCAGAACATTCTATTCAAAACTGGGAGTATGGAAAAGTAAAACAGGATGAGATTTATCTGTGGTTTATAATAGCTGAAAAGTAATGTGGGAAATTATAACTTAGTCAACAACAAGAAATATTTACTAAGCCCTCACTGCATGCCACACAGCTGTAACACAGAGTTACAGCAGGAAAAATTATACCAGATCCCTGTTTTCAAAGAGTGTGCCTTATAGAGGGGAAAGAACACAATCAATGAGCAAGTAAAAACTATTTATCAGGTAATATAAAGCAAATATGCAATAAATAAAAAATTAAGTTGGACAAAGGAATGGAAAGAGATGGAGGGGGCTATTTCATACAGGGTCATCAGAGAAGGCCTTTCTGATGAGAAGACAACTAAGTGAAACATGAGTGCAGTGAAGGAGAGATACAGTTAGGGTCTCAGGGGAAGGAATGTATTATTGGTCAGCAGTAATAACATGTAAACTGCTAACATACTTGGTGTATTCCAGGGAGAGCATGGACCCCAGTTGTAGATAGATACAAGACAGAAACAAAAAGGCATGTTAAAAAAATAACCTAATATTTTTTGAGAAGATTGACAACAGCCAATTGCTACCAGAATCACATGGTATTACGCCAAAGAAGGAGAAACACTGCTCAAAACTACACAAAGATGAAATGGGTCTGTATTACTGAGGGGGATGCTCTGACATCACAATATAAGAAAAGAGTACCATACAGATGTTTCCAAGAAGGTCGAGTCACCCAGGCCTCAGGAGCAGCATTTGCTATCCTATGCAGGCAGTCTTTGTTCAGTGAAATGATAAAGACGTTCAAGTCACTCAGGGTAAGCAAGGAACAGGAAAAGTAATTTTCAGTTCCATTCTAGTTTAAAGTATGTGACTCAATATTATTTAAACAAGCATTTGACTTATCACTGTTCCAGAATCCCAATATCTGTTCAGCTACAATTAATCCTTACATGAAATTAAATTGTAAGATTTGTATACTAATATATGAATACTATTTTCAAACTTCCCTTAGTCTTTTCAAGTAAATTAGACCATATTTTTCTATTTTCATAAATTTTTGATTAAATATTTTATGACTGAATAGGACATATAATCATACATAAAATGATAAAGGTTATGAAGTCAAATAAGAAAGTTATCTATATTTTACCTGACATTTTAAAACTACCTGTAAGCAAATATTCCAATTGGATTTCTTTTATTTAATCTCCCTTGCTACTCAAATATACAAAAAGGCCTGTGGTGAATTGAAATAAACAGGAGGAATCAGGGGCTTACTTAATTTATCAGCTCTAACAATTGAGGTTCTCCTTACCCACTTGAATTCCTTCATGAAGTTGAATAGGGGGCAAAAGAGACTAATAATTCTGATGATCACTACACACAATCAGAGTGTGTGACTGCCTAATCCACTGACAATCTTATGGGTACAGCAACAGTTTATGTTGAAAGCACATGACACTAACATCATACCAGAACATGTAAGAAACAGGGAGGCCCTGTGCCAATACACAGAATGGAGAGCTTGGTAATCAAGAGGTTTTGAGTTTTCCATGAGGCAAATGGCCCCTTTCTGGCAGTGGGCAGGGCCAGAAAGGTCAGCCTGGCCCTAGGATCAGAGTCCAAGAGGGAAGTATCAGGGGAAAGCATGACCAGGGGAGCTCTAATGTTAAAACAGAGGCTATGGAAAGCCTTCGTCACAGAGGTGTTAGCAGTTGGCAGCAGATCAAAGCCCTGAAGGTAAAACCATTTGCAGTCTGGTTAACACTGCAGATAATAGAACCACTCTATATCTTGACTGTGTCAATGTCAATGTTGTTATGATATCCTACTATAATTTTCCAAGAAGTTACTATTGGGGGAAACTAGGTACATAGGATCTTTCTGTACTATTTCTCACAACTGCATATGAATCCATAATTATCTCAAAATGACTTTAATTTTAGAAAATTTTTAAAATAAAATTAATCTCCAACATGTGGCCAAAAGTTCCACGCTCTCTGAATTATCATAGTGCGAGCCAGAGCTCAAAAAAGGCTTACCTCCCAATCATTCAAGAAAATACGAGTAATACACATAAACTGTGAAATGTTATTTCTCCACCACAGCAAGATTTTGATGGATAGGACAATTTTCAGAAAGTTCTCTCACCATACAATAAATACAGTAAAAACAAACATTGCCACATACACTGGGGACTTTGAAGCCATTTCTCTCTTCACTGGGGACCGCTGGGAATTCCCCAGGTTCAAGAGCACTCCCACGGCTCTGCACATCACTCTCTTCTCTCTCTGTCAGCGCACTGTTACTCTCTGCCACTGAGGAGCACAACTCAGGTGACTGTGGCCATGGAATTATGGGTGAGTCTGATCCCTTGGGGGTCACACGGCGACCAAATATGGAATCATCAGTCTCACTGGGATTCAAAGATGGAATTATGGCACAGGCTTGGTTATCCTTAATTTTTACTTCCTCCATTAGAGATGTAGTTAAACAGCTGTTTCCTGAGGAGCAAAACAAAAAGACAATAAATCTAACATTGTGTTATTAATGAGCATAATTGCTAAACTATTCTGAACTAACTGTCTATCTTTCAACTTCCCCTCTAAAATTCTACAGACATGGGTGGGAAAGGTCACTATGGCACAGTGCAGCCTTCACTGTTGTTAAGGTAAGGTCCTGGAGTTTGGCAAAAGAATATATTTATGACAACTAAGGTGTTCTTCAATAGGGAATTGGATAAAGAAGACATGGTACATACAAGGTCTGTCCAGAAAAAGTCCAGCAATTGTTAATATATCAAGAATGGTTTTTGTGACATCAATGTAGCCTGGAAGCCAAGGAGAGTGGACTGCAATGTATGAACAATGATAACTTCACTGTATAAGTCAGTAGGGGTGATACATATCGTTGAATGAGCACGTACACTGTGTAGCCAGTGCATTCAAAATTACTGAATGAGTAGAGCAACAAATCTGCATCTAATTTTGCATTAAGCTTGAACATTCCTCTGCGGAAACTGTTTGGATGACTTAGAAGGCCACAGCTATGGGCAACAGGTGACTGGCAGCTTCATCATGACAATGTGCCTGCTCATGCATCACATCTCATGCAGAGTTTTTTGCCCAAACATCAAATCACCCAGGTGACTCAGCCCTCTTACATCCCAGATTTGGCACCCTGCAACTTCTGGCTTTTCCCAAAACTAAAATCACCTTTGAAAGGGAAGATATTTCAAATCATCAATGAGATTCAGGAAAATATGATGGGGCAGGTGATAGCGAATGGGAGAAATATGTGGAGTCCCAAGGTGCCTACTTTGAAGGGGACTGAGGCATCCTTGTCCTATGTACAATGTTTCCTGTATACTCTTCAAGAAATGTCTCTGTTTTTCATATTACATGGTTGGATATCTTCTGAACAGACCTTTTATATACAATGGACTACTATTCCACCGTAAGAAAACATGAAATACTGCCATTTGTGACAACATGGATAGACCTTGAGAATATTATGCTAAGCAAACTCAGTCAGTTTGTCAGAAAACTGAGTCAGTTAGAAAAAACTAAGAACCATATGATTTCACTCATATGTGGGATAGAAAATGAAAGTCATAGATACAGACAACAGTATGGTAGTTACTGGATGAAAGGGGGTTGGGGGAAGTAAAGGGTAAAGGGGGCCAAAAACATGCTAACAGAAGATGATTTGGCTTTGGGTGGTGGGCACTCAATGAAATATACAGACCATGTATTACAGACATGTACACTTAAAACCTATATAATCTTATTAACCACTGTTGCCCCAATAAATTTAATTTTAAAAAGAGAGTAAAAGAATAAAGTTATTGACAAAATAAGGGATTAAAAACAGGTTCTACTATGGACAAATGTCAAAAGCCAGAGAATAACAATAATTATCCAAAACAATAGCTATTTGAAATATTTCTGAAAAAGAAGAATTATATTCCAATATATGATGCTAAGAAATGCTATTGATAAAACATTCCAGTTCCAAGGATGTATGTAAAGAGCATATGTAAGGCTGTGCAGGCCCAGTAAAAATTAGTATAGGGCTATACTAATCATGTATCATACAATGACAGCATATAAAACTCAAGAATATCATAGGCACTTCTCTTCTACTGCCACTTCTGTTCACCCTTTTCCCTCCTTTACACACACACACACACACACACACACATGCATCATTTCACCTGTCACATACTAGCTCTGATGCTAAACCTAGCCACACATCTTCTATATAAGTGGTCCTCCAGGTCTCAAAACCTGAAGGTCAAAATGCAAGTAACTGTGCAGCCACAGAACTAGTAAAAAATGAGGGCCCTTGGCCTAAACCACCCAGTAATTCAAAAAGTATTTAATTAAACTACCGTGAGGGACGATAAAGAAATAGCCATATGCACTCCATAACTGTCTACACTGCACTGTTTGCTGCTGTTCCCTTCTCTACCTTCTCCACCTTCCTGACTTCCGTCCATTTATCTCAAAGTCAATTCAAATATCACTTACTCTAAGAAATACTGTAGCCTCCTGTCTGTTTCAGGTGTTTCCCTGGTATATCAGCCACATTCTATGCCATCTCTAACATGGCACTTACCACATTAGATTGTAATTATATTTGTCTATCTCTCCACTAAAGTATGAACTCATTGAAGAAAAGTCTATGATTTAAAATCTGTTAACTCGGATATTTCAAGAGCCAAAGGTAACAAGCATGGAGAAGCCGCTGAAGGTCAGATTAATTAGGACGAAGATAAGGACTTTTCTTTCATTCTAAGTGGAAAAAGAGTGAAAAAGAACAAGTGAGCAGAAGACCTAAGCCACTTTGTTTTCACAGATCATTATGACTGCCATATAGGGAACTAACTAGCAGAGCTGTTCAGAGTGAACACTGGCAAAATAGGAAGGAAGCAATTTCTGCAACAGCCCAAAGAAGATATAATGGTGCCCTGAAGGAGGAGGAAGCAGGGGAGAAGGGGCAGGGCATGGATGGATTCCGGAGAATCCCGTATTGAAGGACAGACTGGTTGAGAGGTATGACAAGAAGACAGGGATTACCAATAAGCCCAATTAGTATAAGGACAAACATCCCAACATATACTAAAGAGGCAAAGCTTTAAAGCACTCTCAGAGATTTATGCTATAAAAGGGGGGCGGGAAGCAAAGTAGTTGAGACAGGTGATGGCTTTAGTATAGAGGAAAAGCCAGGGAACTACACACACCATTACCCAAGACTGAATAATTCTTGTTGTTCTTTTTAAAAACCTTATTGTTTATTTTACTCTTAAAATTAAGTTGAAAGCAAAGAATTTGCAAAGCACTATCTATTAATTCATTTTCTCTGTTGCATGCGAACTCAAGAGAAACTTTCCAAAACTGTATTATATATTGTAAATTCAGTAACAACAAAAAAACTTTTTTTCATTTTAGAATCTTCTTTCTTATTAAACCAAATAGGACATGCTGACTGTCTCACAATTTCACTCTATGTAGCAGTAGTGCTCCTGACCTTTATAATACTCTATTGGCCTCCTGACTGAATTAGCCCATAATTCTAGATAGTTTATTGGTTAAGCTATGTGTAAAAGTAAGAAATCTGTTCTCTTGATCACAGACCAAAGGTACCAGATCACAAACCACCTACAAGTTATATATGAAACAGCCTATTTCTCACCTGAGAGTCTGACATTATCTGATGAATTTGGATCCAGCTGGTTCCTGCTAGTAGAGGTCTCTTCCTCTGATGGTGCTTCTGTGTTCCCCAGTTTTATTACTTCTTCTGGCTTTTCCCTGACTTTGAGGTTGTCTCGGACTGGGTCAGAGATAGGGCCCCTTGTCTCACTGACTGCAGCTGACACTTCCTTGTCTTCCTCATGTTTAGGCCTCTTGGAGTTAGAACCAGTGCACTGGAAGCTATTAATAAGAGAAGCTGTGGTCAGAGCAGAGAATATTTGCAACAAACAGGATAAAACACATACCATTATGAATGTTACTTTCACTTACTAAAATAAAAAATTGAGTTTTTAATTATTGTGCAGAGATAACTTTCACAATTAAAAAGTTAATTTTGAAATTAAAATTTTCACAAGAGTTTTAATAACAATTTACTAAAATTTAAAATTAAAACAAATATAAATAATTGATTACGAAATATTATTGGAGAAAGTCTTTGCTAAAATTCTATAACAATATTAAAAGAAGTCTGAAAATAAAAGTAAAGTGAAAAATGATGGCATGGGAGAAATCAAATCAATAAATCAAATATTATTTAGATAATGAAAAATGGAAAAGAAAATGGGGACAGCCCATACAGCTGCTCTTAAAGTCTGAACAGATTTACATTCCAAGGTCAACAAGTGACCATGTTTCCCTGAAACTTGTATATTTCTGAAGTATGCATTAAAATCATTAAAATTAAAAGTCAAATCATCACTGGCTAAAGGAAATAAGAGAAAAGAAAGGTTATCCATATGTTTTTAACATCTTCTATCAACTTATATTTTCAAAGTGGACATCATTCTTATTTTTTTCATCTTTTAATATTTTTGAGCAAGTCATTTGCTAGCTTTCTCAAAGATGCCTTTTGTATGTATGCAACATTTCTAACACTTTCATTTAGAAAAAGTTACAACTAAAATCAAAGCAACATGTATTTCAGTGCCCCAAACACACACACATACACATACATAAACACTAAGCACTGTTAGGAAGTCAGAGAGGGCAGAGATCTGAGATGAAGAGGGTAGCCACAGATCCACAAGTCACCTATGTAAATTAGCTGTGGCTATTGCTGGTAGTAACACTACTAGTATAAGCATCACCATTTTCACATTTATGGAGGACCCACACACTAGGCTATATAGAAAATCTTCACATTACTAATAGCATAGTACACGTAAAGCAAGATGGCTGACAGATCTTTGAGATTTCAATCAACCATTCTCTTCATCCGATTTCCCTAGACAGAGTATTTACTTAAGGGAGTCAGTGAACTGTGTGATCAGGCTACAAGGCTGAGCATAATCAACAAGCCCCTTAACATGAGGCTTTCAAAATGGGCGAGCAAAGTCCATTGATTATTTTAAGTATTTCAAATCTGTCCAATGCCAATCATCTCTGTCCCTGGCAGCCCAAAAGGTCCATTGTGGTTAGTAACTGAGAGCAGATCATATATCTAATTGAAGTATTGTGTTTTCTGTCCATTAAAAGACAATTCTCAACTTGATCTACTGGTGTACCTTCTGAATTAAAGATTGACTACTACCCCCTCCCATAGCTAGCGTTTTGGTAACTTGGATTAACACGTTTATCAAAGGCAGCGACTTTCTAAATCTGTGTTTCCCAAACTTTTTGAAATGCAACCCATAGCAAGTTATACATTCTAGATGGTGACACAACCCACACATACACACATGCTCACACATGTCAGGAATTAATACTTGCCTTTACCACACAGGAAGGACAATAACACTTTTTATTCTATTTAGCTTCCTAATTTAAAATTGCTGCTCCTAACCTACTAAACTGATTTGAAAGCTAAGAGTCTTAAAATCACTGCTATAAGTACAGGGTGAAATAAAAACACCTCACTTTGAGTTCTGCCACTAATTCTGTGTCTCATGTGTTTCTCTCATTAAATGCAAAAGTTTCACTCCATATTCTTAAGGTTCCTCTGCTCACTACCATTCTAAAATAGCAGAAAATAAATGTCAGGGAAAAAACAGACTCAGAAAATAAGCATCAAAAGTGTGAGCAAAGATTTAGAATCACAGTGTTATTTTAGTTAATAGCAAAAAGCTGGAAACAAGCTGTTAAGTCCAAATACAGGGGATTAGTTAAATATATACAGTCATTAAAAATAATGTTGTGGCACATCATTTGATTAAATCAAAAGCACTCACAAAACTGGTCATCAAGTTGTTAATACAACATGGCCCCAATTTTAGAAAGGCATAAAAGATTATATGATAGATATGTGTATGTGTGTGTGTGTGTGTGTGTGTGTGTGTGTGTGTGTGTATGTAAAGGATATATATATACAGAAAATGTTAACATTGGTTATCTCTGGATTGTGAGGTTATGGGTGATTTGGAATTCCTTCATTATTCTTTTCCTTATGTTACAAATTTTCTCCAATGCACAAATATTACTTTTACAATCTGAAAGAAAAACAATGAGTAATATTGGAGAGTAAAAATGTAATATAACCCTGGAAAACATAAAGAGTCTAAAAAGAATTGCTTAAGGACCTGAGTAATATAACACATATTCTATTCGATGAGTTTTAAAAGCAGTAAGATGCCCAAAACAGGCATAAAAGCTTCTGAAATGCTCCTGCCACAAAAATGGATTGCAGAATAAAGTTCACAGGGACAAATATGTTACTGAAATACCATATGCTCTGCTTTATACCTTGTAAAAGAGTAAAACCAAGTGTATAAAATGTAGCAAAATACAGGAATCAGGAAGAAAAAAGCAGTGTCTCAGATATTTGACAAATGAAGAAGAAAACGACTAAAGCCAGAAAGAAAATCAGTAGCAATACAAAAAAGTTGGAAATCAACTTACTGAAGCTAATAAAAATATGGAGATGAATAGAGAACACCAATACAACTTTAAAAGACATTAGTGTAACAGGTTCAAGAAGTTCTAGTATTGTTTTAGTACTTGCCACATGTAACAACTTTAGGATGTTCCCAAACACAAAATATAATTCAATTATACTTCTCAAGAATTAAAAATACTTTACCTCAAATTTTCAGTAAAAGATTTCATAAACTTAAGGGGAATAAATATTTAGCAAAGCAAATAATCTTTGAGAGTATCACATCATGACCCATTTTAATTGTATGAGTACAAGTGGGATAGGTTGGAGGGGGGATCATTACCTCCTGGATCCCTTTACTTTCCTCCTCCTCTGCAGCCATGCTTTTACTTCAGGGGTGGATTCTGGAGTAGGCTTTGTGTGATCAATGGTGTATATATCCTTTCCTTGTTTCCAAAGCTGGTATCTGTCTGGCTGAAATTTCTTCACAAAGATATCCATTGAAATTTTCACCATGTCTTTCCTGCAGGTGCACTGAAACACAAAGGGGTTACTACACATTAAACATTTCACTAGCTATATAAAGTCACAGAGTTCTACTTTGAATATAATGTACATGAATATTTATTCACCATGTAATTGAGGATGTTTTACATTTTCAAACATTCAGTGAGAAATAAATTGATTTTTTCTGAGTGGAGGTGAGAACCTGCATGTTCACATTTACAAATGGTAAAATAATATGTTCAAAGGCATGGTAGAGTTCATAAGAAACTGTGTAGCAGGAACAACTAAAAGGAAAAAAACTGCACATTCAAAAGCATGATTGAAACAGAAGGATTAACCATCACAAAGATGCATCAGGTGAACTGAATGTTGAAAGGTCTGTAAAGCTGAAAACCTAGGTTTGCAAACAAAAGCAGTCAATGAATGTAATTAGAATAATTAAACAAATGGGTTGAGATACCTACAAAGGCGTTCCCAGAAGACTATCAGCTGATTTCTCAAAAGATACCTTGCAGGCAAGAAGGAGGTGGAAAGAAGTATTCCAAGTCATGAAAGGCAAGGACCTACATCCAAGATTACTCTATCCAGCAAAGCTATCATTTAGAATGGAAGGACAGATAAAGTGCTTCCCAGATAAAATCAAGTGAAAGGAGTTCATCACCACCGAGCCCTTATTATATGAAATGTTAAAGGGACTTATCTAAGAAAAAGAAGATGACCAAAAATATGAACAGTAAAATGACAACAAACTCACAACTATCAATAACTGAACCTAAAAAACAGGAACAAAAACAAACTAATCAAACAACTAGAACAGGAACAGATTCACAGAAACGGAGATCATATGGAGGATTATCAGCCAGAGTGGGAGGGGAGTGATTGGGGGAAATGGTACAGAGAATAAGAAGCATAATTGGTAGCCACAAAATAGACAGCAGGAAGTTAAGAACAATACAGGAAATGGAGAAGCCAAAGAACTTATATGTACAACCCATGGATATGAACTAAGGGGGGGATGGAGGGAATACACCTGGTGGGAGGAGAGATGCAGAAAGAAGGGAGATAAAGGGCAGAAAAAATGGGACAACTATAATAGCATAATCATTAAAATACATTTTTTAAAAAATTATGATTAGTTAGGAAAATCATCCCAAAGGTAAATTCATCTACAAATTTTTTTAGGATTTTACGCATTTAAAGTATCTTTCACCAATCCTAGAACTGACCGAAAGAATTATTTTTAACAATGAATTTGTAAAAAAACTTATATGAAGAAGAAGGAAGGAGGAGGAGGAAGAGGAAACCATTGTTTAGTAAACACCAAATATATTTCCTTGGCTAGGTGGTTTACTTACATTGTTGAAGGCAAGCCTCACAGATACTTGTCAGTAAGACACAGAAATCTCAGTTTTAACAGAAGAGGTCCTCTAGTACCTCCCAAGATCAGTGGTGGTCCATGATTTTCTTTCTACTCTCACAAGAGCTCTTATACCAAAGATCATCCTTTCTATAGGAAATCCTTAATATATTGCAGCTGGTGTTTGCAAAATGAGTTGAGATTATAGTAAAGATGCTAAAATCCAAAATTTTCTTTAAGGGATAAGAAAGAAATCCTTTATAACAAAAAATAAAATTCAAAATTAATTTTTTCTGGTTAATTTCAATGGAGACAGCAATCATAGAAACATAAATTAGCATGTGAAGGTATCTTTGATCACAAAAATTATGGATCAGATTTACTAACAGGACAATTTTAAAAAGGGCAAGCCAATGGTGGCAAACTCTTGTTTTGAAAATTTATAAGTATCCAAATAAAGCACATATTGAGGTCTTCTGCTAACACGAGTAGTATACATTTCAACCTAAAATTACTGTAAGATCCTATGCTTCATTATGATCGTAACTATATTTTAACACTGAAAGGGCTCATATGTAAAAAAATATAAGAAATATTTTAATTTGTTTCCTTCAGGAATTCAAATCAGTTGACAAATTTTATTTTTAACACATAATTTTATCAAAATCTAGTCCACCCCCCAAAATTATTATTCTCAAAGGTTATCAGTTAATCATCCTCATGGCAAAACCAAATTGCTACATTAGGTCAGAACTACAGTAAAAAAGAAAAAGTGTTATTTCCTTTCCAACACATAGTAAAACTGTCCTACATCTCCAAATACATGAACTACGAAAATATGGGACTATGTATAATATATAAAAATGCCAAACTTTCAATGGACTCACCATTCATTGGCTTTGAGAGCCTGAAAGTTTGTACCAGGTACCCAATGATAAAGAGTATTTAATAAATAAAGAACAAAAAAAGACAATGAATGGAAAATATTCTCCATTTATTTACTAACAACGCACTTTCTTTAGCTATTTCAATAAGAATTAAGAACATGTTATTAACATAGACACAATTATTCACAATTTCTACATTAAATAGTAACAAAGACACTTTAAGTATTAGGCACAGCAACTTCTTATTTAAACCAAAATTATGAGTGATGTGATAACTGTTTAGGGCCAAAATGAGTAACCAGGCCTGAAATATAATTTTATTCTCAATTATTAAGCTACCTTTTATAGCAACATAGATCATTTATTACTTAGTAAGTTCAGATACTTCACTGAAAAAAATGTGCAGACAATTCTAAGGGTAGAGCATCAGGAGACATCTTTATACAATGTGGGTATTAAATGAAAGGCTATGATGAGTTTTTTTTAATCTGATTTTTTGACCAACTGATATACTACAATCCAGTCTTTATTCATCCAGGTTTGAATCAATTCATTATTTCCTATTCTTTAACCTTTTATCAGTTTTCTGCTAAGTGATGACCAAATGCTAAACACTCTTTTTTCTTTTTACATATAAAGAATAACCTGCTAGTAATTTCTTAGCATTAACACAAACTATGTTACTACTAATCCACTCTCTTCAATCTTCATCTCACATTTATGTAAACATCTACCCAATATAAAATGGAATAGGTTTATACTGCATCATATCAAATGTATAGAAGAGAAAGGATCAGCTCTCTGATACTGCCACACTGTTAAATCACACTAGATTTACAGATGGCCAGGATCCCAAGACTTCCTTGCTATACTTAAGCCTAGTTATTTCTGATTCTGAATGTCATGAAGGCACAATATTCTGCCATATGTACTCTACACAAGTGCTTCGGATCAGTATTTTCTAGCATTATGTTCCAACTTTTATGGAATTTAACTTAATCAATTATTTTAACAGAAACATGGTCTAATTTAGAGTTGTTAAATAAAACAATTTTAGAAAATAGATGCATTCTACACTCAGTAATTTACCAGCCTCTATTGGTATTAGTCTATTTGTATAAACACCTAACCTAATGAGATACTACAAAAATTGCTGGATTTCTATCTTTTTTAAAAAATTATTTATTTTTAGAGAGAGGAAGGGAGGGAGAAAGAGAGGGAGAGAAACAGCAATATATGGTTGCCTCTCACACACCCCTACTGAGGACCTGGCCCACAACCCAAGCATGTGCCCTAGACTGGGAATCGAACTTGTAACCCTTTGGTTTGCAGGCCAGGGCTCAATCCACCGAGCCACACCAGTTAGGGATGGATTTATTTCTTTACATGTTCACCAGACAATTAATAATGAATAAAAGTATATAATATGTGGATTAACTATAAAAAATATAAAGGGATCTGTTTATATTGAAATTCCTCTAAATAAATACCAAAAAGTGAGTAAAACATTCTACTTCTCTAGCCCATCCATTCTTTTATCATAAAATTTTCATAACCAGTTACAAATTTGAAATGAATTTCACCCTTGTTGGGGTACTCCCAATAGACCACCAGTATTTCTTAAGTAGCTCAAGAAATTAGAAATTTTGTTCTAAGGAATTACATTAGAAAAAGGAGAATTCAGATTCAGTGTAGTAAATGTACATAAATTTAACGTATATTATGCTGAGCTAAAGAAGCTAAATACAGAAAAAGCCCACAGTGGTGCTTATTCTAACTAATTAATAAATATGACTATGTTTAATATGATTAAACAACAGCAGTCACATTCTCTTTCTGCTTGCTGTACCTAGGTCTGCCTACAGCTACATGAAACTGGAGATCCCATGAGCTCTGTCATCTTCTTCATATAAAAATGTTCTCCTAGCTCTGTCACAGGGAATCAAAGGTCAAAAAGTATGTAAACATACTGGATCAACTGAGCTCTTTAAACATAATTGTGATCTCCATGATGCCCTTCTCCACAAAAACTGAAGTAAACTCAAAATGCTCTTGTCAACCCAAGAAAAATTTTTAGTCTCAGTTTTTACTTAAATATTTATATTTTACAGAACTCACTTTCAAAGATGGTAAAGATGTGTGATTCTTCAAATAGTTAACCAAAGCCAAAAAAAATTGCAAGAAACTTATGTGGTAGTACAACAGAAAATGTCCTGTTTCCTCCAAGTCCAGTTCCTATCTATGGGACAAACTAGGAACCCATCACTGTACACACAAATGGACCTTCACCCCTTAGTCATATGTAATTATCAACTGTAACCTTGATTTATTTTATCTATATACTTATTCAATCACTGCTCACTTGTACATGTACCCTCTTACATAAATAATTTTGTGAAAAATTATTATAATTACCTGACAATTTATAAGAATTATTTTATTACAGGAAATAGAGTTTTAAAATATTTAGGTTTAATTAAGTTGAAAAATAATATTTACACAGCATTTTGATTTCCTGGGTTATATTTTATGTGATACCAGTCAAAGATAAATAATGGGCTGTTTTAGCAGAGTACATGAAAATTAAACTACATAATTACATTTACACTGACTGAGCAGGGAGAAAATAGAAACACAAACTACGATCAATATTAATCAACCACGTCAGTATATAAGGAGTGCAAAGGCCATTTCCTTTGTCCTATGTCCATTAAGGAAGCAAGGTCTGCAAGAGGCTTCGACATCCTTTGTTTTCCCCAGACTGGTCTGTAGAGTTCCCAGAA